CCACTTTAGGGTGAGGCAGAAGGGGGATAGAGGGAAAAAAATCAGGAAGAGGGGAGGAGCTGGGGTTCAGCTTGGCTAGGGGGGACGCAGCCAATCCCTGTACAGGGTTTTTGTCCCCACACAGAGAGGGGCATAGGGGGTAAGAGTTACCCCAGTGGGATGAGCCACCTGCTGAGTGTGCAAAAGAGCAGAGGTGGGTGGCAGAGAGGGGTTTTTATTGCCCCTCTCTAGGTGCTGTGTTTGAGTACAGGGCAGCTTCCTGGCTGTGTTCTTAAAGGTGAAGCTGTCCTAATTTATTGGTTCTCACTGCTAGACCCCCGCAGTGCCTCTATCTGTGCTGCTACACGGACAGGAGACAGAATGCCCTAAAACATCCGACATGCAGTGCTTGAGGGAACGTGTAACACGTTGTGCGCATGTAAAAGACTCTTATTAGTTTCCTCCCCGCTTCCTGGTCCCTAGTCCTGAGTGTCTAGAGACAGTTTGGAAATCTAGGCAAACGGTGGTCAATACTTTGTGGGTGAAACCCAGCCACACCAGTCAGTGTTTAACATTGGCCTTTGCCTGGCCACGCCGCTTCCCTTAGCTCCCCTTGGTGGCAAACGGTGAAATGGAGCTAATGGGAGCCAGGACGCTCTGCAGCCGCGACGCTCGTAACTAAACAAACTGGCACAGCCAGTTACAGGTTTATCCAAGTGGTTTCGTGGTTTCCCTTTGAGAGAAACACTGCATTACTGTCAGTTGGAAAGGGAAAGAAATCCTGGGTGAGTGTATGTAAATACAGTTTGCTCCTGCTTTGTTTAGATGTGGTAGATCAGTGTTTCTCAAACTGTGCTCCAGAGACATCTCCAGGGGCTCTGCGAGGTTGACAAGCTGGAAACATCGATAGGTACAACACATACAATCAGTGGACTGCTGCGGCTCCGCATACATTTTTACTCCGGAGCCCAAAAAGTTTGAGAACCGCTGTGTTAGATATTCAGCTGTTACAATGGTGTTTTGCTCGTTGCAATCAACTTGGCTGGTGTTGGGTCACAAATTATGCTAATACTAATTGCATGGTCTGTAATTATTGGGGGAAAATACAAAAGACGACAGTCTGTGCTTAACCTGGCACAAAAGAGGGAAACACGCTCTGTTTAAAGAATGAGATTCTGGGCGTGTGCATGTAAATACAGTTCACTCAGTTTGCTTAGGCCTGCTAGATATACAACTGTTATAGTGGTGTTTTGCCCATGGTAACCAATTTGGCTGTTGTGGAGTCACAAACTGTGTTAACGCTAAATGCAGGAATTGTGAGATATGATCAGCAATCCTTGCAGTTATTGTGGGGATGCAGAAAAGTCAGACTGTGTTTAACGCAGTTCAAAGAAGATAGACTGTCCGTGTAAAGAGCCTCGGATGGACATGGGTTCCCCTGCTGAAGTTCTGTGAAGTTAATTGGGGGAGGGGAGGGCAGGGCTCTGAATCAGCAGGCTGCATGCCCTCCAGGTGTGAGTGGTAAGACTGGTTCAACCTGTTTCTCCCCCCTGTTCTAATTATAAAAGTAGAACAGACTCCATCAGGAGTCTCGTTATTTTAAATTTACTCCCGTGGACGCTGGACTTTCTTGTGGCTGGACTGTGCTCTGGGACAAGAGCTGAAATCACTAAGTTTGGCCCAGAGCCAAATCTAACACAAGCCAGCGGATGATGTGCCAAGCAGCCAACAGGGAGGGAGGGAGAGGCACGACGAGCGGCGGGAAGGGTGGCAGCAGAGATCAGCGAGCAGGTGGAAGGCAAATGACCAACGGAGTGCATCAGATACTTCCCTCCCTCCTCCACACTCAGGATGGGAGGTGAACTCCTTGCCTGTCCTGACCAAGGGCAGCGACTGTGAGAGGGGTGCAGACAGGGGTTGAGGATGTGAAGGGGATGCTTACGTTGCTGGACTTAAGAACGTGAGAGGCAAGGGACAATGCCCAGCCTACTCGGGATGAGATATTGACTTGTGATTTGGTTATGAACTCGGTCTACGGTGTTTTCACAACTTAATGCCACGTTACTTTCCTCCCTTTTTATTAAAGGTCATGTTACTTTCCTCCCTTTTTATTAAAAGTCTCTGTTATTGCGAGGGGGAAGCACTGCCTCTCAGAGGAGCCCAGGGGTGGTGTGTGAATTTGCCAGGTTACTGAGTGGGGGCTCGAGTCAGTTCTGTGTTCGATGGATGGCGAGGAACCCCTTGCTATTGAAAAAGAAAATCAAAGTTAAAAATCAACCCCTTGCTAGTGAAAAAGAAAATCAAAGTTAAAAATCACTTAGAGACGTTAGATGTCTTCAGGTCACCGGGGTGTGATGAAACAGATTCTAGAATACTCAAAGACCTGATAGAGGAGGTATTTAGCTAGCATCTTTGAAAAGTCATCGAAGTCAAAAGAGAGCCCAGAAGACTGGAAAAGGGCAAATACAGTGCCCATCTAAAAAAGAAAAATAAGAACGAAGAGAGCCCAGAAGACAGGAAAAGGGCAAATACAGTGCCCATCTAAAAAAGAAAAATAAGAACAATCCAAGAAACTCAGGACCAGTCCTCTTAACTTCTCCGTTAGAAAAGATAATGGAGCAAGTAATTAAGGAACTCATCTGCCAACATCTGGAAGATAATAAGGTGATAGGTAACAGCCAGCATGGATTTGTAAACAACAAATCATGGCATAGCAATGTGATAGCTTTCTTTGATAGGATAACAAGTCTTGTGGATAAAGGGGGATGGTGGATATGGTATACCTAGATTTAGTAAAGCATTTTATATAGTCTCACATGACCTTCTTATCAATAAACTAGGGAAATACAACCTAGATGGGGCTACTATAAGGTGGGTGCATAACTGGCTGGATAACCATACTCAGAAAGTAGTTATTAATGGTTCATAGCCATGCTGGAACGGCATAACAAGTGGGATTCCGCAGGGGTCTGTTTTGGGACCGGTTCTATTCAATATCTTCATCAACGATTTAAATGATGGCATAAAGAGTACGCTTATAAAGTCTGCAGATATTACCAAGCAGGGAGGGGTTGCAACTGCTTTGGAGGACAGGGTCATAATTTAAAATTATCTGGACAAACTGGAGAAATTATCTGAGGTAAATAGGATGAAGTTTAATAAGGACAAGTGCGAAGTGCTCCACTTAGGAAGGAACAATCACTTTCACACACACAGAAGGGGAAGCGACTGTCTAGGAAGGAGTACTGTAGAAAGGGATCTAGGGGTCATAGTGGATCACAAGCTAAATATGAGTCAACGGTGTGACACTGATGCAAAAAAAACAAACATGATTGTGGGATGCATGAACAGTAATGTTGTGAGCAAGACACCAGAAGTCATTCTTCCGCTCTACTCTGCGCGGATCAAGCCTCAGTTGGAGTATTGTGTCCAGTTCTGGGCATCACATTTCAAGAAAGATGGGGAGAAACTGGAGAGGGTCCAGAGAAGAGCAACAAAAATGATTAAAGATCCTGAAAACATGAGCTATGCGGGAAGGCTGAAGGAATTGGGCTGGTTTAATTTGGAAAGGAGAAGACTGAGAGGGGACATAACAGCTTTCCAGTACTTAAAAGGGTGTTACAAGGAGGAGGGAGAAAAATTGTTCTGCTTGACCTCTAAGGATAGGACAAGAAGCAATGGGCTTAAATTGCAGCAAAGGAGGTTTAGGCTGGACACTAGGAAAAGCTTCCTGTCAGGGTGGTTAAACACTGAAATAAATTGCCTAGGGAGGTTGTGGAATCTCCATCACTGGGGATATTTAAAAGCAGGCTAGATAAACATCAGGGAAGCTCTAGACAGTGCTTGGTCCTGCCAGGAGGGCAGGGGACTGAACTTGATGACCTCTCGAGGTCCCTTCTGGTTCTAGTATTCAATGATTCTAGATTCTGTGAGTCTCTGGGTCTATGATCAGCTGCCCCACTACAAAGGACAGTCACTGCCTGCAAAGTTCCAGGCCTGCTGTTTGTAGGGATGTCAGATACCGTGTAATTGAATAGTTGTGTAACCACTGGATCCTGATCCTCTCCTTCTCCCTGATCCCTGTATAGGAAGGAAAAAGAGGAGGGCAGGCAGGTCCGCAAAACCGGCATGTGTGGAGATCTGGTTTCAAAGCCGACTCCCCATGCATACGGGCTCCCACCTGCCCCCCCCACTCTTCGTGTTGCTGCGAGGTGGGAGGCGGGCAGGCAAATCAAATGCTCTAGGAAGGCTGGCTTTAAGCTGGCTCCCCATGGGCACCGGCTTCCACCTCCCTACCACTTGCTGCCCCTGATACAGGGGAATGTGTATAGACGACAGGATGACTTAGGCTTATCGGTTAATTGTGTAGTCGTCTACACGTTGACAGCCCTAGCTGTTTGGAGAGGCAACATGGCCGCCTGCCCCCAAACTATGCCCTTGTTAAAAAATGGGGGCACGTGGCTAGTGTTCCCTCTAATTTTTATGTCCGTGACTGTTCTCTGCACCAATATGGAGGTGAGGTTATCACAGAACAAAAGTCTTTCCACCCATGGAAAATGTGTGGTGGGGGTGGGGCCGAGTGGTTGAGGCAAGGGCTCTAAATGGGGGTTGGGCTCTGAATGGGAGCTCCAGGCAGGGGCAGGAGGGTGTGAGGGCTCTGGTTAGGGATGTGGGCTTTAGGGTGGGGTTCCAGGCTGGCGGGGGAGGCTGAGGGTTTTGGAATACCAGAGACCAAGCTGAGGCAGGGAGTTGGGTTGTTAGAGGGGGTGAGGGCTCCAGGATGTAAGAGGGGGCTCCAGTTTTGGGGAGGAGCTCTGGGCTGGGCGCTGTACTGGGGCTATGGTCTGGGGCCCGGAATGATGAGCTTGGGGTGCAGGAGGTGGCCCCTGTGCTGGAGGAGACTGGGGCAGGAGAGTATGTGGATCTTGCTTACATGGCTGGCTCCTGGGGTCAGTGGTGCTTCGGCCGCCTGCCTTGTGCCTGCCTGTCTTGAGACAACGCGCTGCACCCCGCAAGTGGCCAGCAGGTCTGGCTCCAAGGGAGACATATGTCTCCAAGGCAACTCACCCAGTCCGTGCACTCCTCGGGGTTCCCCTCTTTGGGCCTCCAGTGCAGACGGCAGTGTGTCTGGAGGGGGGAGGAGAGGAGAGGGGAGATTTCAGGGTTGCATTGTGATCACGCAGAGCTGGGATTTAATTGTAACAGAGACCAGACAGAGACACACTCCGGTGTTTAAGATGAAAAGGTCTGAAACCTTCTGTTTCCCTCCCACTCAGGCACCAGAAATGGAACCAACATCCCTGCAGCCTCACACTCACCCCAGCACAGACAAACTAAGTGAGAACTAATTGTTCCCTCCTCATCCCCTCCCACCCTTTAAAATCCACTGGGTTTGTCTCGTACACTCACTGCCTTTGTCGTAACCTAGACCCTGATCCTGCACAGACTTTGGTTTCAAAGTAACTTTTCCCACTTCGGTCCCTTTGACACTAACAGGAGGTTCAGAGTTTGCAAAGTCCTGGCTCTAACTGGGAGCTGTGGGGTCTGTTTACGCCTTGGACCTGCAGTAGGGATGTAATAGCGTACTCGATTAACCAATTAGCAAAAGCTTTCAGGTTAATGCTATAGGCTACTCGCATTCCTCCCCACGCACCAGTAAATTTTTTAGCAGGCTGGTCAGCAGCCTGGCTCGTGACCGGACCAGGACTTACCTCTGCTGTGGCTCTGCCCAGCTCAGTTCCGACTCACACTGGATTTGGGAGCTGAGACCCCATCCTGGACAGGGGCTGCTGCTGCTGCCCTGCACTGCTGCCTCTGTATCAGAGGCAGCATCACAGGGCAACAAGCAGTCAGTCTGCGAGGGGAACAGGTTTTTAAACTGGCTCCGCTCGTGGACCAGCTCCCGCCTGGTACCTCACATTGCTGCCTCTGATACAGAGGCAGCAATGCAGAGTAACTGGGGGCTCCTTGGAAGTGGGGCGGGAGCACATTGGCTGCCAGCCCTGCCCCCAAGGGACTTTATAATAGTTGAGTAACTGATAAGAGTTCATGAGGTTAATCGACTATTTAATTAACCGATATTTAACATCATAGAATCATAGAATAATAGGACTGGAAGGGACCTCGAGAGGTCATCGAGTCCAGCCCCCCGCCCTCAAGGCAGGACCAAGCTCCGTCTACACCATCCCTGACAGATGTCTATCTAACCTGTTCTTAAATATCTCCAGAGAGGGAGATTCCACCACCTCCCTTGGCAATTTATTCCAATATTTGACCACCCTGACAGTTAGGAATTTTTTCCTAATGTCCAATCTAAACCTCCCCTGCTGCACTTTAAGCCCATTACTCCATGTCCTGTCCTCAGAAACCAAGAGGAACAAATTTTCACCTTCCTCCTTGTGACACCCTTTTAGATATTTGAAAACCACTATCATGTCCCCCCTTAATCTTCTTTTTTCCAAACTAAACAAGCCCAGTTCATCCCTCGCCTGCAGTTGCTAGAGTAAGGAGAAGGCCTTGTTCTGTAGCCATATTGGAAGGCCTAAAAGCCTTCATCCGCAGCCAGACAAAAAAACGGCAGCCATTAGATGAAAGTCACTTACATTAAAAGAGTGTCACACCAGGCTGTTCAGAAGGAGACCCTGTCCCTAATAGCCCCCAATCTCACCAGATAAAGAAACAAATCTCAAAACAATTAAAGAAGACGTATTTGATGGAAATTCATCTGGGAAAGAACTACTGCCCCAAAACTGTGTTGAATGGTAATGAATGAAATGGAAGAGAAAATAACTTGAAAATTGCTTGCACAGCAAAAGCTCTGATAATTTAAACATTCATGTGAGTGCAGCATGAGTTAGACAAGATACTTACTGTTCATAGTACACAAAGGTGTTTGGAACAGAACTGATCAGCATATAATCTAGCTGCGCCTAACATGTTGTCACGAATCATGGGCCGTGTGAATGGTTGGCATGAGTGAATTAGCAGTAAGTGAGCTGAAGAGAGGCCATACTAGGGTCCGAGTCAGTGCCCTGGTGAATTATGGACTTGTTTATCTTGTTGAGAAAAGAACTGTGTGCGTGGTGAGAAGACAAAATTGCACACAAGGAGGCAGAGTTCCCAGATAAGAGGACAAGGGAGTAACCAGGGACAGTCTGGTGCTTATCGCTCATGGCTGGGCAAGCAGAATTGGGTGGTGTAAGCAGGGTGCTCCAAGATCAGTTGTGAGCACACCCGCAACGGACGTCACCCCACCCGGACTGTGTGCAAGAGTGTGCAAGCAATGAACATCACTCCACATGGACTGATTCCCCTCCTCTGAGGGGATAGATACCACACCAATTCGCCCTACGGGTCAAAGTCCATCGATTTGGCATATTGGGGTGACATGCACATTGGACTCTTGGCTTAACCAAATTAACCAACATTACCTTTGGTTTGGCCAGCCCCGGAGGGTGAGTGGTGCATGAATGAGCTTGTGAGACTGTGCGCCAAAATTGTGGGTTAAGAATTAGACTTAACTATTCAAGTTAAGTACTGCTTTTGGCCTGCTTTCTAATTGCTAACTACTAGATTTAAGCCTTGGCTTTGAACTGCTTCTTAATTGCTTGCAATAACGTTTGTTAAAGGCATATTTTGTCTGCTATGAATTCACTGTTGTGTGTAAGCCCGGCCTATGGGACTGTTGTATGGACTGATCACCCTTGCAACAGCGCCCTCATGTGACAATGTCAGACGTAAGGGGTAGTCAGAGCAGCATTGGAAACATGCATCATGGCCCACCTATGCCCCGGGAGCAGGTAACTGGGCAGTGTTTCTTTCTGTGTCTGTCATTCCTTACTAACAGGCACTGTAATGGCAAAGCTTGAGTTTGAAACAAATAAGGGGTTGAATAAAAAACCCGAGCGTCTTGGATCCCAAGTGTGCGCCATTCTCACCCCCACAATTAAACAGAAGCAGAATCGAATTATGAACCAATTAGCCAGAATCATTCTCTTTCCGTGGCCTCAGACGCTTCACTGACTTTCCCCTCCTCCATCCCTCCCAGGTACCTTTGAACTCCTTCAGCGTCTCCGACAGCGCAAGAGTTATCTGGGAGAAACCACTGACGCGCTCGTCCAGGTCAGGAGAAATCTCCTCTGGCGGCTGGAACTGCCCCGTCTCACACCTGGAGAGAAACCGTGTCATGTCTGTGACTCAGTTCTAAAGTTCCGGTTAGTAAATCGCTGCTCCAGTGGGCCTGGAGCTAGAATCTTTCTGCTTCTCCCAGCCCAGGAGCAGGTCCCGCATAGCCCAGCAACATTCCCCTCACAGGTCCAATTGTTCTTCACATCTGGCCTAGAGAGACCAGCTCTGGGCACGAAAGGGGAACTGAGACTCCACAGCCAACTCGCTCCCATCAGACACATACAAGGACCCCCGGGAAGGGATTTTGCTCAGAGGGACAGGAGGTTCCCAAGTGAAGGGCTGTAGAAATCTGCCCACTAGCAATTAGACTGAGACACCAGCTGTCCCCTTCCCCAGCTCATTCCACACAGGTCTCCAAACAGCCCTTGGGTGGGAAAGATTCTGGATCCCTGCTAACCTGGGCTGAATGGTGCCCAGTGCCCAGCAGTGACAGGCCCATGTTCAACCTGCACAGTCCTGAGGTAGCCAGTCCCCAGGGAAGTGACAGCTCTAGGAAACACCTGAGGTCAGACAGTGCAGTGCTTTTTATATTTATATATAAATAAATAAAGGTGCCGGTACTCCAGGGGAAAAGTTGTTGAGCTCTGACTGGAGGTGCCGGTACTGCGTACCGGACAAGTCTCTGCCACTGAATGGAGAATTCCATAGACTTCTGTGTATGGGCGAGACCCTCAGGCTGAAGTTGATCAGGGAGGTCTGTGCGCAGCCTGTGCCCTTCCCTTCATATCTGGGTGTAGAGTCCTGGGGAGGATGTGGTGCTCACATCAGCTCCAAGCTGTTTCCCGGGAGCGGGAGTGAGAAAGAGCCACGTACCTGCTCAAGGTGCTGCTGGCATCCTGCAGGAGAAAGAGAAAAGAATCTCAGCCCCATCGGACACACACAGGGGCCCCAGGAAAGGGATTTTGCAAACGTGGGGAAAGAGAGGCCCTGAGCGAATGGGGCTTTGCCATCTCTAATATTTCTGTGCCTGTCACTCTGCAAAGCACAATGGTCACTCATGTCAGCAACGCACATGCCGAGTTACACCCAGATCTGATGGCTGGACCCCAGCGCTTGTGGTTCAGGAGCCTCCCAGCTCTACACACAGGGAAGGGATGTTTCTCCCTCAGTCTCACCTTCAGGAATTCACTCGCTGGCTTCTGACACGTCCCCTCCAGCTCCCGGATCAGCTCGCTGAGACGGGAAATCTGTGCGGAGAGTTTACTGACAGTGTCAGTCTGGAGCCTCACAAGCTCTTCCTCCAGCTTCTGCAGCTGGGCCAGCAGGAGTCGCTCTTGTTCCTCCAGGAACTGCCGCAGCTGCTGAAACTCGACCACGATCTTCTGCCTCTCGGCTTGTGTCTGTTTCTGGATGAAAACAGGGAAAAGGCCGGTCAAAGGGCATGGATGGAGCCCGGGGCCCTTTCATGGGCAGCTGAGTGCGCAGCAGGGACAACTTCTTTGTGAATCCTCAGATTTCTGGTCTATGGGTACAAGGCAGAGGAGGCTCTCCCAACTTCCCCTTTGTCCCTCTGAAAGGGACAGTTCCCTGCCTGTCATAAGCAGCATGTTTTGTTATTCATGGGCGCTGGGAATTCAGACGCAGAGCAGGAGGCAGGACTCAGCCCCATCCTGACAGAGACACTGGGGTGGGGGTGGGGGAGAGGACAGAAACAAATCTGTTAATTCATGAAATGGCCAGACTCAGCTGACAGCCCTTCACAGGGACATTCAGCTCCCTGGGGGAGGATTTCTGGGAAAACCACAAGGGCTGGACATTAACTCATCCCCTGACATGAAAGCTCAGGACCGGTCCACACATGGATCTAACCCAGCAATCCATGGTCTTGGAGAAACTCCCTCGCCCACCTTTCCCAAGGCCACACAGGAGTCTGCCTCCAAACGGCCCTCCCCCTGACAGTTAGGGATGTTAAATATCCGTTAACTGATTAGTCGAGCAACCTCATGAATTCTTATTGGTTAGTCCACTGTCATCCTATAGTCCCCAAGGGTGGGGCCGGCAGCCAGGGCGC